AGGGTTAGGGTTTCTACTCAATATATGTCCGACAGTGATGTAAAACTGGATTATTCCTGATACAGACGCTGATGTTCTCGTATCTCAACAGAAACATGAATGATAAGGTGCTAGGGTTAGGGTTTCTACTCAATATATGTCCGACAGTGATGTAAAACTGGATTATTCCTGATACAGACGCTGATGTTCTCGTATCTCAACAGAAACATGAATGATAAGGTGCTAGGGTTAGGGTTTCTACTCAATATATGTCCGACAGTGATGTAAAACTGGATTATTCCTGATACAGACGCTGATGTTCTCGTATCTCAACAGAAACATGAATGATAAGGTGCTAGGGTTAGGGTTTCTACTCAATATATGTCGACAGTGATGTAAAACTGGATTATTCCTGATACAGACGCTGATGTTCTCGTATCTCAACAGAAACATGAATGATAAGGTGCTAGGGTTAGGGTTTCTACTCAATATATGTCCGACAGTGATGTAAAACTGGATTATTCCTGATACAGACGCTGATGTTCTCGTATCTCAACAGAAACATGAATGATAAGGTGCTAGGGTTAGGGTTTCTACTCAATATATGTCCGACAGTGATGTAAAACTGGATTATTCCTGATACAGACGCTGATGTTCTCGTATCTCAACAGAAACATGAATGATAAGGTGCTAGGGTTAGGGTTTCTACTCAATATATGTCTAATTGTGATGTAAAACTGGATTATTCCTGATACAGACGCTGATGTTTTCGTATCTCAACAGAAACATGAATGATAAGGTGCTAGGGTTAGGGTTTCTACTCAATATATGTCCGACAGTGATGTAAAACTGGATTATTCCTGATACAGACGCTGATGTTCTCGTATCTCAACAGAAACATGAATGATAAGGTGCTAGGGTTAGGGTTTCTACTCAATATATGTCTAATTGTGATGTAAAACTGGATTATTCCTGATACAGACGCTGATGTCCTCGAATCTCAACAGAAACATGAATGATAAGGTGCTAGGGTTAGGGTTTCTACTCAATATATGTCCGACAGTGATGTAAAACTGGATTATTCCTGATACAGACGCTGATGTTCTCGTATCTCAACAGAAACATGAATGATAAGGTGCTAGGGTTAGGGTTTCTACTCAATATATGTCCGACAGTGATGTAAAACTGGATTATTCCTGATACAGACGCTGATGTTCTCGTATCTCAACAGAAACATGAATGATAAGGTGCTAGGGTTAGGGTTTCTACTCAATATATGTCCGACAGTGATGTAAAACTGGATTATTCCTGATACAGACGCTGATGTTCTCGTATCTCAACAGAAACATGAATGATAAGGTGCTAGGGTTAGGGTTTCTACTCAATATATGTCTAATTGTGATGTAAAACTGGATTATTCCTGATACAGACGCTGATGTTTTCGTATCTCAACAGAAACATGAATGATAAGGTGCTAGGGTTAGGGTTTCTACTCAATATATGTCCGACAGTGATGTAAAACTGGATTATTCCTGATACAGACGCTGATGTTCTCGTATCTCAACAGAAACATGAATGATAAGGTGCTAGGGTTAGGGTTTCTACTCAATATATGTCCGACAGTGATGTAAAACTGGATTATTCCTGATACAGACGCTGATGTTCTCGAATCTCAACAGAAACATGAATGATAAGGTGCTAGGGTTAGGGTTTCTACTCAATATATGTCCGACAGTGATGTAAAACTGGATTATTCCTGATACAGACGCTGATGTTCTCGTATCTCAACAGAAACATGAATGATAAGGTGCTAGGGTTAGGGTTTCTACTCAATATATGTCCGACAGTGATGTAAAACTGGATTATTCCTGATACAGACGCTGATGGTCTCGTATCTCAACAGAAACATGAATGATAAGGTGCTAGGGTTAGGGTTTCTACTCAATATATGTCCGACAGTGATGTAAAACTGGATTATTCCTGATACAGACGCTGATGTTCTCGTATCTCAACAGAAACATGAATGATAAGGTGCTAGGGTTAGGGTTTCTACTCAATATATGTCCGACAGTGATGTAAAACTGGATTATTCCTGATACAGACGCTGATGTTCTCGTATCTCAACAGAAACATGAATGATAAGGTGCTAGGGTTAGGGTTTCTACTCAATATATGTCGACAGTGATGTAAAACTGGATTATTCCTGATACAGACGCTGATGTTCTCGTATCTCAACAGAAACATGAATGATAAGGTGCTAGGGTTAGGGTTTCTACTCAATATATGTCCGACAGTGATGTAAAACTGGATTATTCCTGATACAGACGCTGATGGTCTCGTATCTCAACAGAAACATGAATGATAAGGTGCTAGGGTTAGGGTTTCTACTCAATATATGTCCGACAGTGATGTAAAACTGGATTATTCCTGATACAGACGCTGATGTTCTCGTATCTCAACAGAAACATGAATGATAAGGTGCTAGGGTTAGGGTTTCTACTCAATAAATGTCTAATTGTGATGTAAAACTGGATTATTCCTGATACAGACGCTGATGTCCTCGTATCTCAACAGAAACATGAATGATAAGGTGCTAGGGTTAGGGTTTCTACTCAATATATGTCCGACAGTGATGTAAAACTGGATTATTCCTGATACAGACGCTGATGTTCTCGTATCTCAACAGAAACATGAATGATAAGGTGCTAGGGTTAGGGTTTCTACTCAATATATGTCCGACAGTGATGTAAAACTGGATTATTCCTGATACAGACGCTGATGTTCTCGTATCTCAACAGAAACATGAATGATAAGGTGCTAGGGTTAGGGTTTCTACTCAATATATGTCCGACAGTGATGTAAAACTGGATTATTCCTGATACAGACGCTGATGTTCTTGTATCTCAACAGAAACATGAATGATAAGGTGCTAGGGTTAGGGTTTCTACTCAATATATGTCCGACAGTGATGTAAAACTGGATTATTCCTGATACAGACGCTGATGTTCTCGTATCTCAACAGAAACGTGAATCGTGAGGTGCTAGGGTTAGAGTTTCTACCTACTATATGTCTAATTGTGATGTAAAACTGGGTTATTCCTGATACAGACGCTGATGTTCTCGTATCTCAACAGAAACATGAATGATAAGGTGCTAGGGTTAGGGTTTCTACTCAATATATGTCCGACAGTGATGTAAAACTGGATTATTCCTGATACAGACGCTGATGTTCTCGTATCTCAACAGAAACGTGAATCGTGAGGTGCTAGGGTTAGAGTTTCTACCTACTATATGTCTAATTGTGATGTAAAACTGGGTTATTCCTGATACAGACGCTGATGTTCTCGTATCTCAACAGAAACATGAATGATAAGGTGCTAGGGTTAGGGTTTCTACCCAATATATGTCTAATTGTGATGTAAAACTGGGTTATTTCTGATACAGACGCTGATGTTATCGTATCTCAACAGAAACGTGAATCGTGAGGTGCTAGGGTTAGGGTTTCTACCCAATATATGTCTAATTGTGATGTAAACCTGGGTTATTTCTGATACAGACGCTGATGTTATCGTATCTCAACAGAAACGTGAATCGTGAGGTGCTAGGGTTAGGGTTTCTACCCAATATATGTCTAATTGTGATGTAAAACTGGGTTATTTCTGATACAGACGCTGATGTTATCGTATCTCAACAGAAACGTGACTCGTGAGGTGCTAGGGTTAGGGTTTCTACTCAATATATGTCTAATTGTGATGTAAAACTGGGTTATTTCTGATACAGACGCTGATGTTATCGTATCTCAACAGAAACGTGAATCATGAGGTGCTAGAGTTAGGGTTTCTACCCAATATATGTCTAATTGTGATGTAAAACTGGGTTATTTCTGATACAGACGCTGATGTTATCGTATCTCAACAGAAACGTGAATCGTGAGGTGCTTGGGTTTCTTCCCAATGTATGTCCGACAATGATGTAAAACTGGGTTATTCTTGAATCAGACACTCTGTTACGGAATCTCAAAAGAACAAGAATCGTAAGGTTCTAGGGTTAGTGTTCCTACCCAATATATGTCTAATTGTGATATAAAAGTGGGCCGAAAAGTGACAAGAAACTGCTTTATTAGTCACACAGACCCTACTTATTAATTTCTGCCTTTATGGTACTGCAATTTTGCTGAAGTAGAGTGAGAGAAACTTGGGTGTACAGGTGTCCCAATTGTCATGGTTGATGGAACTTGATGTACTGGTCATGGGTTCAAATCCAGAATATGAACCTTCGTTTCAGCACCACAATACCTCATGTAGTTGCATAAATTTGTGTCTCACTTTCAAATCACACTGACACATGTCCATCTGTTTAGCTTAAGGTCACTATTCTCCAAACCAGTGATCAGAATGGATCCTCACATAACCAATCAACACAACTCTGCAGTGTTGAAGCATTTAAGACCATTAGGCCAACTTTTCTCTCAAACAGCGTAAAACATCCACACTATGGTGACGTCAATCTCTTTAAAATCAGACCTTAGGTCTTGCTACCGCTAAACAAAGATCTGAGGACATCCCAGTACGGGTCACGTCAGACCGACCTTGTGCGAACTTTTACCAACCAATAGAATGACCAATCATAAGGCAGCTTTCTCGTGCTTTACGGCACTAATTTCAAATTGGCGACTACGCTTCGAAACATATTTGGACAAATTCTCGATTACAAATTTGAAAACTAAACAAAAGAACATTCTGGAGTGGCTAATAGATGGTCTAGATTGTATGGATTCAGTCGTTAAACCTGTAACTATCTTTCGGAATACCCCGTGTTAAAAGTTTTCGAGGTTGTATGATTAGAAATCACATTCTGACTGTCACTTTCATGATCTGGTAAGCGATGCTCTGATCGGTCGAATGAAAGGTCGTTCTGACGTGACTCCTAATGGGATGTCTTCAGGTCTTTGTTTAGTGGTAGCGAGAACTAAGGTCTGATTTTAATGAGATTGTGGTGACGGAAACACAACTAGTATCACATGTATTCCAATACTTTATTCTATTACAGAAATCCATTTTTTTATACTATATATACATCAGTAGTGAAAACAAAAAACTTCTGAATACCATATTTGTGCAACTTATACTTAAAGATGGTGTCAGTTATCTTCAACTTGCTGAATATGAACTTTAACATTTGGTCATGACAATATTAGTGTTGGAATCAAGAGTGCAGCGTCCAGTTCATGACATCACTTTAAAGCAGATATCTGAAACCACAAAAAACTGAATCAAAAATCTTATCTGGAGCTCTGTTAAAATACTGTAAAATTTGCATTTTATCTCAAAACTCAAATAAAATATTTTAAATATTTCAAATGCACACATTTCTCAGCCCATTTATACACTTTATTAACAACAATTAGTGAAAGCACACTTTCAAGATTTATTTTCTGGCATATTTCTCAGCAATGGTGCCCCAAAACTGCTACCCTTTTGATAATTCCAACCCAATAAGTACATAGAAGGTTGCATGATCAAAAACATAAGAACAAATAGTTGAAGGCAAGTGTTTTAAGAAGCACATAGTGTTTCAAATTAAAAATATGACTAAACTTAATCAAATAGATTGCAAACATATGTCCTAAGTCTAGATGTATACAATGAACACTTCTCAAGAACATCTGTACATCCTTACAACAGGACTAACTTGCATAATTTCAGAGCAGATTTGTTGATATGCTATTTCCGATGACCTAAAAATGCGTTTGTGGGGGAAGTATTTAAATGTATGGGACCCATGTATTTTACCTGAAGTTGAACCCAATCTATGGTATTTAATGAAGGGTGTTTTAGCAAGGGATGACTGTATTTATGTTTATGTTGCAACATTGCAAAAAGAACCAACATCAGATATTTCAAATCCTTATCTTGAACAAATATACAGTTTGGAATCCCAATAAAATTCACATTTCTTGAACTGATTTGCCGCTCTGATAAAGGGTACTTATATATTTTATTATGTGGCTGTTTTCTCAATATCATTTTCATTTTAACACTTAGATCAATTCATAATATTTAATACACTCCTGTGTCACCATTTACAGTGTTGATATTTTCCATTCATCACTCCAATTTACCGGTATATGCATAAAACCAAAAGGACTAAACGAAAATGCAGTAAATGTAGATAAGGGGGCACATGTGAAGTATGTGCACTTAAAGTAACAGCAGTTAAAAAAATAATACTATGCCCCAAAGTACAATGTAATATAATTTAGCATCGACGACAAATTCAATATGGTTGACATGGTGGCCATATTTAGAATCTAGATATTATCACTGTCATCTTGTTACAATAACAAGCAACTAACCAAGTCACCGAACCTGACCACCCAATCACTTAACTCGTCCCTTATAACAAGGATAGGTTGCAGTGGACGTATTCTAACACAGAATCACCACGATGGACTGATTTTTGTGATTCTTGGATTTCTTGGATTGTCATTAAAGTAAAAGTTTTAAACAACTGAAGGTTGATGCAAGCTAACATTAGCTGACTTCAACACTTGGTACCTGAACACATAACACATCTACAGACTGAATTTGTTTAAAATATATCAACCTTGGTCTATGTTTTGTGTCGTTATATCCGCAGCCATGTTATTTTCTACCACCTTAAAGGAAGATAAATTTGAAAGTGACTATTGAACATAACATGTCTTTACACACATGCCGATTCTATTTTATGTTGTAATTTAAATTTCATGTCCATTATTCATGTGTTCAATCATTTTCAGATGACTTTTGGACCCCACAGCCCCTCAATACCTGAAAAGTTCATGGTGAATCTCAAACCTGAACTGTGTTCAGATAACAGCAGTTATGTGGGTGATTTCTGACCTGCTGACAGATTATTGTTCAGATCAATATTTGCTTCAACTCAGACACCCACCTCAATGCAGTTATGTTTGCGATTTCGGACCTTCTTGATTTTGACTGATTTTGCTGACTTTTTGCCTAGTTTTACATTTAATGTATATTTTATAAAAATAAAAGTCCAAACAAAGGAAACAGTGGATAAATAACACATAACAAGCCATGAGGAATTTATCATCCTTTAATTTTCAAACCCCTGATGAAATTTGGAAGTTTAATCTTACCCAAAATGTTGAAAAACTTACTTTTCCACATAAATTTTTTAACCAGATGTTATTCTTCCACCTTATTTGATTTGCAGATTTCCATGTCAGACAAAGATCAAGCGGTGTCATAGGATTCCTTTTCACTTGATCAGGAGGGATGCTGTTGTGTGCCAACTGAAATAAAAAATATGACGATGATAATCAATGCTAGTCCATAGTCATACCGTCATTGGGGCCTTGGTCTATAATTCAGGGTACGATTTCATTCTGTCTTACCACCTGCACCAGGTGCAACAAAGTGAACTAAGCAGGTTGCACCACCAAAATTTTCTGTTATTTTGAATTTTAAATAAATTCAAAGAAAAAAACCCCTTGAGAATGTGCTCCAGAATTTATTTTGAGGTGAATCTGTACATGCCTTTTCATATCATGATATCGAGTAAACAACCTTAAACAGAAGTCTCAAAGTGTCTGTTGTGATTGTAACCTCATGAGTGACTGTTCTAGTGGTAATTGTGAAGAGTCCTGCAAGTTCAATGCATTCAGACCACCTGTGTATTTCACTATTTTCATGAACTTTTGTTTCCTGGATTCGAAAAGACTTGCAGCCAGTTCTAAAAGAATTCAGTTTTCCACTTATGGTTGGAAATGTTACCTGCACTGGGTGCAACCTAACCTCACCTAAAAGTTACCGACACCTAGGCCTACTTGCACAGAACAATCTTAGCTACAATCGATCTTAGGCGGCTACAATCAATTTTACAATCACCATACAATTGTCCTATTCCACTTGCACAAACCCATCTTAGTGTGATTGTAAGACGGCTCATCTAAGATTGAAATCTTCAACGGTGGAGGTACGAATATCTTAAACTCGACTCCTGTCTACAGTTGTCTGCCAACGCGCATAGCTTGCTGCGTATACAATAAGTGGAACTGTTCACGTCACAACATGTACCTCCCTCCATGGCACCTTGCACAGTTTCAAGAGAGGTGCCAATTATTTGAAGGAAACGATTACTAGAATGATGGCATATATTTTTGTCGGCATTAATAGTGTCATGATTTAGGAATTCAACAGTTATCTGTTGCAACTTGAGAAATACCTACTCATGTTTTTTTATCAAAAGTATTGAAATACGAATAAATATATTATTTAGTGACACAATCATTATGAAAATTAAAATAAACAAGTATTTGTCACAAAGTGACGAAATGTCCCCCGCCTGTATATACACCATAGTACCAAATATGAAAACTATCCAGCGATTAGTTCTTGAGATATTGAGGCAACACCGTTTTCCAACTCCAAAAGCAGATTTGCCTGCTGTGACCTTGAAAATGGGGTCAAGGTCACCAAAACCGACTGGTGTCTGCGGAGTTTGTATATACACCATAGTTCCAAATATGAAGACAATCCAGTGTTTAGTTCTTGAGATATAGCGGCAACACCGTTTTCCAACTCTAAAAGCAGATTTGCCTGCTGTGACCTTGAAAATGGGGTCAAGGTCACCAAAACCGATTGGTGTCTGCGGAGTCTGTATATACACCATAGTTCCAAATATGAAGACAATCCAGTGTTTAGTTCTTGAGATATCGCGGCAACAAACAAGTGGGACGTACGGACGTACAGACGTACGGATGGTCGTGAATACTATATCCCCCGCTCCGCGCGGCGGGGGACAATAATACTAAAAATATTTCCTTATAACATAACACGGGGGAGCTTTTCGTAAAATACTAAATATATCCTTCATGCTTTCATTTCGTTGCTGTGACAAAGGATGTTATGAGTACTTTTTCAAAACACAGGAAGACGCAGGATTTCAAGAATGCATGGGAAATAATAATAATGAATAATGTTTCGAGAAAGCAGTTGTTTAATACATGTATATATTCACTTGGTATTAATTACATTGATAATTATTTTTAAAAGGTGTAAATTTTACTTTTGCTATTTATGGGATATTTTACACAAATTTCAAATGTCTCATCATGTGTATTTGCTTGTTTCTTTTCTTTTTAACTCAGATTTTAAAATCCCTCGTCCCCTGCCAACTCGATTTTAGATTTAGACATGTTTGACTTCATCTAATATTTATTTGTAAATTAATTTAATGATGAACTAAAGACAAAATAACTGACACGAATGGGACCGAAAAGAATAACATGGGGAGCTCAGCGATTCTACAACATTAATACACTGGGCAAGGTAGATTCTACGCTACATGCTTACACAAAGGGAAACCACTCTCATCTAGAGTATAAACTATGATTAGCTGCCCTTGAGTTATCGAAAAGGTCACGGACGTTACTAATCGCTTGCATACAACTTTTTATCCTTCCCTTGATTAGTGAAAAGGTATGTTGTTTCCCACTTCTTTCAGCATTGAGTCCGGTGGGTATAGTACTTTTACTTTTAGCTATCGATTCGATAGTTAAGTGGTTCACTATTGCAATTAACGATATTTCTGACGTTAAATCTTAAATTAAAGTGTTGATTTGAATCATAAAGTTAACAAAATAACGAGGCAATATTTGAACATAAGGCAGAATATTTATGTGAATTAGATGAGGTCCTGCACGCCATTTTGTCAAGTTTATTCAGGGACCACAACAATCTTAGCTACTTAAGATTGGTTTGGACCAATTGTAAGTTTCGCTTGTAGCTTACAATGATCATAGCCTACAATCCCTTTGATCAATTGGACAGCGATTGTAGCCGAAGCCTAAGATCGTGATCTTAAGGATTTACAATAATTGAAGTGCTAAGATTGTTCTGTGCAAGTGGACCCAGCAATGTTTTTACCTGCACTGGTGGGGCTTGTATGTAAAGAAAACGATCCCTGTAATTGAATGTGATTATGGCTATTAATGTAGTGTTTAAGTAATAGTATAGACAAATACTACAATGACAATGACAGAATTTGCTGCATATATTTCTTATTTATCAATAAGTCATTAAAGCCTTAATCATGTTAATGATATTAAACATAACTCTAAGGTAATGATTGTTCTCTTCCTGTCAACATTAACAGATTTCTACATTCAGCTGTTTATTACTCAAAATTGTGTATCTTGTGTAAGTGAATAGGCAATATAATCAGAAACCTATTATCAGGATGAGTTGGTTTTCAAACACAGAGATCCATGAAAAACGTTTGACAGTGACCATCATACGTAAGGGCAATGTGTTGAATTGGAACCCCTTTGATCACATGTGTCTAATGGTACGCTCTCTGATTGGGTGCTGCCTAACTTCCTTCTTTCTTACATGTCATTCACTGGATACAATAGATCATATTTGAAGATATTGATGAATTTCAAAACAATTGTCATACACACTGGTATACCATAATGACATTATATATGGAAATAAATACCTTCTACAGCAATTTAATATCATCTAACAGTTCTGGAATAGCTAAATATGCAAACAAAAGAATCAACATGTTTTTACACTATACATGACTTATTGTACAATAACTTACATGTCTGAGTAGTGGAAGAAAACAACATTTTAAACATATCTGCCATGTTCGTCATGCTCAAACTCAGATAAAATTTTTGAATACATTTCTGGTGACTTTATTCCTGGAACCACACAAAAAATGACAGCTTCATAACAATTGTAGGTTATTAAAGAAATGTAAAAATAAAGCATCAATGGATTCAAGGATTACATTAAAGTTAAAGTTCATAAATGTGCAAGTTATTGAAATACACACAACAGAACCTCGTGCAACATTGTCACCATATATTGAATTACATGAGCAGTCTGTGCCCCAAAATGATGGGTCAACTAGCCCGAACAGGATTTTAGTGTTGTCATTTTGACTATTATTAATTGGACTTACTACATCGAGCACAATATTACTAGACTTGCGTTTCAAATTTTCAGGAAGAATTGCTCAAGCAAAACATGTTATGTGTTTACAGTATAAAGAATTAGTACATGCATTATAGTATACTTTAAAGTACCAGACAACAGGCTACCGCTTGCTACTTGAATTCCGAAATGAAAAGACGTTGATACTTCATTGTGTTCAGTAGTATACAGTGCAGAGTCTGGTGAGTCCAGTAAAGAGTCAGAATATAATATAGCAGTTGCCTTATTAGTCTACAGCAATTTGTTATCTGCAAATATATTAAAAAATATTGGACATTACTATTTAATTGGATTAGGAATTCCACAGAGATTAGATAAGTACGTAAAACATAATTTTAACAGTATGATTAGAGAATCAAGATGATATTTTTAAGATTAGAAATTGAATTTGTCCCCAGTTTTAAGAGGCTTGGGTAAACCCTGTAGTGACCAGGCTCCATGGTCCAGTGCACAACATTTACAATGTAGGTCTAAACTAAACAGGGGGCCCTAGCACTTGACCTTACATCTTCCACAAACAGCCTGTCAGCTGAAAAGGAACATAGCAGTTTTCTTATAATGTTCAATTCTTCCAATCCAGGTGCAAAGAGTTTTAATATTTATAATATTAATAAAAAAACATATACTTTATGCTGACATCCCTAGCACCGGTTAAAATGATGGTGACTCGCTCGTATTACTTTTCCCATTTCTATTAGATTGGAGACACTTATTTCAGAATATGATGAGCAAACTTGACTCTTGTCAGGTAATATTATCAATACACCAGGTAGGCACCTTGCACAAACATAACTTGAGAAAGACAGAGACGAGTTCAACAAAAAATACCACAACAAGGTAGTGCACATTAGCTCTGTTGTGAGGAAGATACTGATTTTACAACTAAAGTGGACACTTTCTAGCACATTTTACAAACATACATAACCTGAAGATACCATATTAATTGTGTTACGACAAAGCATGTGCAGATAGTTGTGGGAACCTTGGTTTGTGTCTCTTACAAACTGATACAAACAGTCTGTATTCATAATAATCAATAAAAATAGCACATTATAATACTAGAGTATAAGAGTATTTAAAAAATTGAACTGTATAACTTTGTTTGTTTGTTGTTTAATGCTGTACTAAGCAATATTCGTGCTTTGACAGCTGCCTGTAAATAATCAAATCTGGACCTGACAATCCAGTTATTGACATCATGAGCATCAATCCATGCAAATGGGATACGATGACATGCATCAACATGGTCTCTGAGCCTGACCCCTCAACCACGTTATGACAAGGATAGTCGCCTCTTAAAGCAAGCATGGTTTGCTGAAGACCTTTTCTGACCCTGATCTTCACTGGTAAATGTGTATAACTAAACATGCTGAAGTAGTGCCAAGATCATGTGGCACTTGCTGCCAAGACAATGACAAGAACTACAGTAACAATATTCCCTCTATTTGGGTACAACACAAATTGTCTAGAACACTGAGAACTAGGCACATTTGCTCTTAGTCCTTATTAAAGTGTGCTGGTACTGTACAGACAAATCTTATTTTGGAATGTATCAGAAATAACAGGAAAATGACAAGGACAAATGCAGGCCAGTAGACAAAGTGAAAAGAAAAATATACAATATATAAAACACTGCCAAACAGATCACTATTTAAAAACAACACTATGTCATTTTTTGTATGTACAATGACATTATAATTGGGGATTCAATTATACTTACTAAAACAGGATGTTGCCAGCAGTGTTCACTACGGTTCATGATAAGGTATTCTCAGTTTTGTCCATTGCTCATAGGCAGATGTAGTGTCTGCTACTGTCAACAAAAACATTCCAACATTACACCCTACACTAATCTGTATGAGTTAAATGGATATATATTCATCAATAAAATGGTATTTTGCCTTCAGACATTTAGTTATCAGAGGATTACAGTTAGTTAGATGCTGTAGGCCTAGTCATAATCTTAAAACAACACAATTATTCAGGTATAAATGGATAAATTTGAGTTTGTTGACAGAGGTTGCAAAGAAACAATACAGATGTAGACTGACTAGTGTAATTAACTAACAGTTGGGGAATGTTGATCATGACTTGTTATAAAGTCTATCAATCCGCCTCTCTACTATCAACAAATATTTAGGCCTAAAAAACAAACACTTTCACCAGCACTTTGAGAATACCAGGGTCACGTGATGGTGTTTTGGAGCATTTTCAGTTGTTTGGGACTTCAGAGCTTGAATAAATTTTCTGCCTCCGATGCATACTGCTGAAATGTAAACAAAATACGACATATAATAGTATATATATGTAAGTAAAAATTACTAGTAATTACTACCAGTTGGACTAAAAGAAACGAGCGATTCTGAAAAGGAACGTGACCCAATCGTCTTTGGATGCAAGTGATTCGCGTCAAAACATGGGCGCTTGATACCAGGCAACAACTCCAATACAATATACGATAGGTAGGACTGTAGGACATACTGTTTCGGTAAAGCACTCTTTCTTTTGGAATAAACGGCATTTATGATGCGTGACCTTGCTTGTGCACGTCGACGTTGTTTCTAGGGACGCAAAGAATGCAAGGCTACCTGTAGAAAACACGCACGACATTACGTTCCCATTTGTGGCAATGGTAGGAATATTGAAGAGTATTTATTGGTATGAAAACACCCACGTTTGTTGTGCTCTATTTAGAGAAAAGACACAATTAACTAGCTTAAACTAGGCCTAAGTTGAGTGGAACAAATGACGTGACCTTACACAAAATGGCGGCGGATGATGATGCATGACGAGGTCATGTGACCAGCTGGTGATGTATTATTATCAATGGTTACCGTATAATTTTCTTCATGATAATGTAGATTCTATTTGTAATTCCAGGTGACTGGGAAAATACTGGAATGGTGGTTGAAAGGTTTGCATGGCGCATTTCACCATTACGAAGCTACTTCTACATCTAGAAAGCTAGCTGGTTACAGGCTGAAGTTGCTCTGCGGTAATCTATTTATTTTTCTGTTGAGACAGAGCCTGGCTTGCATACCGTCGACGTAGACTCGTTGACCAATGAAAATCATTTTAGACATGCTCCTTTGCCGTTACCTAGTAGTAGCAGTAAATGTTAGTCTCCAGAGACGTAGAGACCGTCTTTGTACCTACTAGTAGCAGGTCATAGTTGCTAACAACTCTGTGCTAGTAGTAGGTAATATTTCCTGGATCGGGTGGATTATTTTGACTTCCACCGACGTTAACAGGGAGCCCGTTCAGAACATAGGTCGTGCTATCGTTAAGAAAATCGCGATTAAAATTAGCGGTAATGAGGTTTTGAGTATCGACGATAGCGATGTATACTATTGTTACATGGATCTCTGGAGAACGGATAAAGAGCGGGAAAACTTACAATAGCAAGGTATTTGTAATCGGAACACATTGAGACTGCGTGTAGATGCTTCTAGTGGTGATGGTATGGTCGTAAAAGATCAGGTGGTTGCCGACGCATTCGGTAACTGATTCTATATTCCCCTAGACTTTGAATTACTAGATTCCCACATGCCCTTTTATCAAGCATCCCTATGCGATAGGTTAGAATACGAACTCACTTTTAATGACTACGGCAGAGTAATCAAAACCGGTGGTGAAGATGCTAGCTATTCCATTGACAATATCTCGCTGGAGAACGATATGATAACAGATCCTGAATTAGCCAGACAAATTCGTAACCATTATACAGGAAGTTTAGCCATTTTGTACGATCGCGTGCTGCGACACCGAAAAATCACGAGGGACAAAAAAGATACGATGTAGAATATCAATCTAAACGTTCCCACGAGGTCATTGAAGGGTATTTTAATGTTGTTCGAGGACCCCTCCAATGCATTTAAAAGAAATACCCAGAAGTTCTACAATCCCAAGATTACAAAAGTAGAATTGACTATCGAGGGCGTTCCTAATCAACTATATATTCAAGGAATGCTAGCGTATCACCAGTGGGATGAGATTAAAAAACTCCCTTCTATAAAACGAAGCCCAGAAGTTAACGCAGTCGTGAAAGATCTGTCTCTCGGGGGTATATCGATTGGTGAATACCTCACCACGAAGTAAGCGCTATGGCTCGACATGCGAACAACGGACGATGACCAACTACACGGCAGTGGGAGGAGAATAGAAAATGCTAGTGAGGGTGTCACTATACAGATAACGAAGCTCCAGGAAACAGCTGGTAAATTAAACATATATTTGTACGTGATTATGGATGCGCAACTTAATATACAGAATGGAAGATTCGTGCAAGCAATCTATTAATAATCTTTTACCTAAAGAACCACACTGCGCAATCATATGCGGAAGTACGGGCTGTGAAAAAACAGCTTTTATTCTAGATATTTTACAAAGTCATTATAGGGACGTTTTCGATCATATTATTATTCTGTGTCCGACTATAAGCGTTAATAAAACATACCTATCGAGAGATTGGGTAATGAATGACGACGGGGTACACAGAGTCTATCCGGGCGATCGTTTACAAGACTGTTTACGAGTATGTCACGAAAAATACAAAGGAGAATCAACCCTTTTCGTAATAGACGAATGCAGCGCGAGTAAAGAACTCACAAAAAAGAAAGATATGCTTTCGTATTTAGCATTCTCGGACGGCATACTCAACATAGCGTTTGGGTACTTACTCAAAAAAACAACTCTGTCCTGAAAGATCTCAGAGAGCAGACCAAATAGGTAGCACTGTTTCATTGCAAAGATCGAGATTCATTCGAGGAATGTTTATGCGAAAATGATGTCATTTATATCAAGCTCGAACGAGATAAAGTCAGAAAACTGTTATCGGCAACGAAGCACTGTAAACTCGTATTAAAAACCGATCAACCAGCTGCTTATGCAATTGCTTAGCAAAATGTAGCAAAATTATGGCAAAATGTGGCAAATATAGCAAAATGTAGCAAAATTATAGTAAACTGAACATTAGCGGTTAATATGACATAAAATGTGGTTTGAAATCCTCATTCTTTCGAAACAGTTCATTATTACGGGATGTATTGGATATGCCATATTATATTATGTTAGACTTAAATATCTCCTTAGGTATTACATTATGGAATGCGATGAACTCATCGAACAAATGCTCAAAGATGAGCCTGATCAACATGTAGATAAATCTTGAGATAAACATAGAGAAAAACTCGCCGCTTTAGTAGCCGGTTCTCAATATTTGGGGGAAAATTATACCATCGAAAAAATTGATAACATGACGGAGGAGGAGCGTAAACGACATAACAAAGCATTAGAACAACTCGAAAAAGCTCAGTCACAATGGGCGCGGCAGAGAATGAATAGATTAGACTTTATTCATGAAGAACTGCGTAAGGAAGGACATTCAATTCAAACGATTAAGGATGTCGAATCTGCCATGCACGAATACTTCCTCGTTTATGGGAAAAAAATTGACCAAATACCGAGACCAACAATGAGTCAGTTTTATACACCGTCAGAGGCTCAGAAAAACCGCGAGGTCATATTTGTGATTATTGGGTTATCAGCTGTTGCAATTTTCAGCTATACAATAATACAAATGATATGATAGATGTATAAACCATGAATCAGTGCAGATTTACACTCATGGGTAAGCCGACTCTATGTAACCGACCCTGTGTTGATATTTACTGCGGCATACACAATTATTACATCAGGCGCAGAAACATTAACTATACGTGTTCTGTATGTGGGATAGGGGTCAAAGGTCGTTATTGTTTATGTAAGAAACACGGTGCTGATAGGGTCAGGAACCAGATTATTTATGCTAGGAAGAGGGATTACATCAATGAGAGGAATAGGTTGGGGAGAATACGTATTTAGATATACGAAAAACAACCAATTAGACATTTGACTCATTTTGCATATACCATTCAACCACAATGGTTTTTGTCAGAGAGTTGAAGGCTATGGCAAAGCAACGTGGGCTGAGAGGTTTTTCGATAGTTCATATTTAGATATAGCCAATTTATATGCCCTTCAAAGGTGGATCTTATATAGATTTACCCCCGTATTATAAGAAGAAAAAAGCCATAATTAACGTAAAAAATAAATCCGATGATTGTTTAAGAATGATGATAAGATCTGCATTGTTCCCTGTAGATTCTAAAATTGCAAATAGACCTTCGAGCTATGCTCAAAACGATGGACTCAACTTCGATGGTATAGACGAACCTACACCAATATCACAAATTGATAAGGTGGAAAAGCCAAATAATTTAGCTATAAATGTTTTCGGACATTCTAAAGGAATTGTTGTACACAGGATAAGCTCCGCTCCGGAACATATTCCCAGAATCAATTCATTTCTGATCGAAAAAGATGGAAAATATCATAATACATGGATAAAGAGTTTAAACAGGCTATTATACGATCAAACAAAACATAAAGAAAAGAAATATTTCTGCGAAAGATGCCTGCATGGGTACAGCAGACAAGATCTATTTGAAGCGCATAAAGAAGACTGTAGAGGTGTTGGACAGACCGCTATCAGGATCGATATGCCTAAAGAGGGAAAAAATATATTAAAATTTGAACATTATTGTAATCAAATGCCAGTACCGTACGAAATTTACGTCGACTTCGAAGCGCTTATCAAACCCATAGAAAATACTGAACGCAATACTGATAGTAGTTTTACATACAAAACTCAAGAACATATTCCTTGTGGGTTTGGATATATAGTTGTAAGGTATGATGGGAAAACAAACCAGCCCGTGATTTACAGAGGTCCCGATGCAGCGGGAAAGTTCCTAGAATATCTACAAAACGAAGAGAGAATAATCAGGGAAAAATTATTGTGTAAGAAACCCATGTGTATGACAGGGATAATTGGAGGTCCTATAAGAAGTCAACGAGTTGTCATGTTTGTAACAAACCCCTGAATGGGGATTCCATAAGAGATCATTGCCACGTCACAGGTAATTATCGGGGGGCCGCGCATAACGAGTGTAACTTAAAACTAAAAATGAATTCTCAAACAATACCCATCCCCGTTGTGTTTCATAACCTTAGGGGATACGATTCACATCTCATTATGCAAGCTATCTCAAAGACCGACGGCGGTTTAACGTGCATTCTTAATAATATGGAAAAATACATATCGTTCTCGTTGACTAAACCTATACATTATAGGGACAAGGATGGGAAATCAAGAATAAAGCAAAGTAATGGGCTTAGATTCATAGACTCTGTACAGTTTCTGTTATCTTCCCTGGACAATTTAGCTAATGCGAACAATCCCGATGACTTTGCGATAACAAATCAATATACCGATAAGATAACTCGTCATTTGTTGCTGAGAAAAGGTGTATATCCTTACGAATATATGGATGATTGGTCTAGATTCAACGAAACTGAATTACCACCCCTTGAACCATTCTATAGTAACTTAACAGAAACTAAAATAACAGATGCCGATTATGAACACGCTCTGACGGTCTGGGATAAATTAGGTTGTAAGAATTTAGGCGATTATCACGATCTGTACTTAAAAACCGATGTACTGTTACTCGCCGATATATTTGAGATATTTAGAAAGACATGTTTAAAACAATACGGCTTGGACCCGGCATGGTACTATTCCAGTCCCGGACTACCGTGGGATGCATTGTTGAAGAAGACCGGTGTAGAACTAAAACTACTCACAGATTACGATATGCACTTGTTTATTGAGAAAGGATTAAGAGGTGGTATATCGATGGCAGCGAA